AACTTCTTTATCTACTGTTTTTACTATATATTCAGATTTAAAAATGTCTTTCCAATTAGTTTTATAAATGGTTGATATTTCAAGTTTTGGAAGGGTACATTTGTTAAGTTGATTTTCTATTTCGGAAATAATTAGTTCATGGTGTATTATGTTCGTGTTACTGTTTTTTTCTTCTTTGTTCTTATTTTCTTCAAACTTTTCTTTTCCTTTGGAAAGTAATTTTATTAATTTCGGCATCCTAAGACCAAGGTCTAAGATTTACAGGAACACCACAGGGTTTACTGTCACTTAATTGGTTTTACAACCTATATCGGCTTACCAACACTTATCTTTCCTCAAAGACTCTTAGGCATGGTTTAATTAATAACATTTTCTTTCTTTCGGGAACAGTCCAATTTTCAGAAAATATGAATTTAGAATAATTTTGTTATATCACACTAAAATATCAGGATTTGAACCTGATAGTACGTAGTGATCTGAACTGACTTTTACTCTTACAGAAACCCAAATGGGAAAAACTTAATTATTCAGTGTTCCAGCCAATATACCTATAGCAAATTTAAAAACTTTCTGATATGGAACATCAACATGAAGTCGTAACCATAGAGCATACTTATACATATATATATATATATATATATATATATATATATATATATATATATATATATATATATATATATATAGATAGATAGATAGATAGATAGAGAGAGAGCAACATTTTTCAATTTGGCTCTGGTACCATTTCTGGTACCAACTCATATGCATGAAAGCGAAAAGAAAAGAATGCGAAGCAAGAAGGAAATTTTAAAAGAAAAGAGTATCATAAAATATTCAAAGAAAGCTTAGAAAATTTTCAAGATATTTGAGGATAAGAGAACGCTAGAAACTTAGGCTATGAAGGAGTTGGTTTGAGGGAGATAGAGTTGAAGGCTCTGGAGAATTGTATCTCTTTCTACTTCAATGAACCCTTTTATAAACAAAGTTATCAACTATTCCCTATTTGAATTTATACCTGGAACACCTTACTTTCGGCGGTCGACACAATAAAAGTAATTACAACTTGACACGTCTTTCTTTCGACGGCCGACGCTAAAGACAAAATGAAATAATTACAAGTGACTGGTTTTCAACTAGGTGGGGCCTAAGCATCTTTCGGGCAAAGGACCAAATAAGTCCAACTGCTTACTTGGATACCTTATTATAAGGAGTGGGACCTCAGCATCTATTGGGCAAAGGGTCAAATAAGCCCAGCTGCTTACTAAAATACTGTTTAGAAGGTAGGCTCACGTCCTCTAATTTTCTCATAATATGATTGATCTTCATTTGTAATTCTTCTTTTGTTGATTTTTGGTGCATAATATCAGTAATCTTCTTCTTTAACTCTTCTTCGGTTGATTGCCATAATTGAGCAAAATCAATATTTTCTTCATCTTCGTGAGGATCTTGGGCGTCTTGTAGATTGATAATAGCTTCATTTTCTTCTTCTTCTTCTTCATCTGAGCCTAATGAAGATAATACTTCGAGCATTTTTTGTTTTAATTAGGCTTTTTCTTTTTTTGATGAGAGAATTTTAGATAAATCTATTATGACTTTTCCTTTTTCTTCTGTGTATGAGATTTCTTTTCAGATTGGGTTTTTTTGTGTAATGGGACTCATTTTCTTCCAATTTTCAATTTTTTCTTTTACATATTGTGTTTCAAATTTTTTTCCACTAAAAACCCTTGGATTTTAACAGAGAGTTTTGGGGTAGGTTTCTTCCTTGTGTTGGTGTATTGTGGGAATGTGGACTAAAAGCTAGCTTATTCCCATGGATGAACAAAATTTTATAATTCTTAAGTGTGGAGGGTAATAGGAAGTGAGACTTTTATATTTTTGATAAATTTTCATGATTTTTTTTGGAATTATAGATTGGATTGGGCCTATTTGATGAAACCAGTCGACAAACCAATTGAGTAAGGTGTTGGGTAATTTTTTTTTGAAGCAGATATACCATGAAGGCCTAGGATTGATATCAAATAGTATTTTGTTCCAGGCTTCTTGGTAATCAAAATAATTATAGGGAGTGGGGTCAAAGGTCATCGAAAAACTCTCAGTGAAAGGATGTTGGTTCCATTTTTGGTATGAGAGGATTTTAATAATTCGTAGTAATGAATAACTAATAATAGAGAGATCTTTTTCATTAGGGATAGGGGTTATCTTTGCAGATCCGGTGTCTATTAGGATGAACTGGTAGAACCTTTTATTCTTTTTTTAATTTTCTAATTTGGGAATCCAACTCCATCCAGGAAGAGATAGTTTCTTTAGTATTCCATAAACATATTTGGGATTTCAGTCTTCTTCTAAAGTGATAATTTTCTGGCATCCTTCTTTAATATAAAATTCATTTTTTAGAGTTTTTTCAGTGGGAGGTTGTTGTTGAGGGATTTGTGGTGTTAGGATGGTGAATCTATTTGGTTAGGTGGTTATCGATGTGGGAAGTTTCCGAGTGGCCATGGTTTTAGAGTATGAGGGGACAAAGTCATCTAAGGACAGGGTAGAGGACTTTGGGCCTTTTTTTGTTTTAGTTTTTTCAGCCGAAGTTGGGCTTTTAGAGGGAGTTACCATGGTATGGCCCTGTAAAAATTCTCTTGTTAGAAAATTAGGTATCAAATTTTCTCCTTCTTTAATAAATTCTATTTCAAATTCAAAACAGGATAATAGACTTTGTCATCTTGCAAATATTTGTTTAGAAACTATATTTTTTACATCTTTTTCCAAAATGATGCATATATATAATATATATATATATATATATATATATATATATATATATATATATATATATATATATATATATATATATATATATATTTGAATAAGTATGTTTTGTGGTTGCGGCTTCATGCTGATTTTCCGCATCATAAAGTTTTAAAATTTGCTAAAGGTATATTGGCTAGAACACTGGACAATTAAGCTTCTCCCGTTTAGGTTTCTTTAAGAGTAAAAATCAGTTCAAATCACTACTATCACGTTCAAATCCTGATGTTTTAGTGTGATATAACACTATAATTCCAGAAAAAATCATGAAATTTATCAAAAATATAAAAGCCTCACTCCATATTACCCTCCACACCTAAGAATTATAAAATTTTGCTCATTCATGAGAATAAGCTGGTTTTTGGCCCACATTCCCGAAATACACCAACACAAGAAAGAAACATACCCCAAAACTCTCTGCTTAAAAACCAAGGCTTTTTGGTGAAAAAGATTTGAAACCTAATATGTAGAAAAAAAAATGAAAATTGAAAAATAAATGGGCCTCATTACACAAAAAAGTTCAATTCGAAAAGAAATCTCATACACAAGAGAAAAAGAAAAAGCTATAATAGATTTATCCAAAATTCTCTCATCAAAAGAAGAAAATGGCCAATTAAAACAAAAAATGTTCGAAGTATTATCTTCATTGGGCTCCAATGAAGAAGAAGAAGAAGAAAATGAAGCTATCATCAATCTACGGGACACCCAAGATCCTTGCGAAGATGAAAAAGATATTGAGTTTACTCAATTCTAACAATCAATCCTAGAAGAGTTACATAAGAAGATTACTGATATTATGCCACTATAAATCAACAAAAGAAGAATTACAAATGAAGATCAATCATATTATGAGAAAATTAGAGGATGTTGATCTTCACGAGCTCACCTTCTAAACATATTTTAGTAAGCAGTTGGACTTATTTAGCCCTTCGCCCAACGGATGCTGAGGTCCCACTCCTTAGAATGAGGTATCAAAGTAAGCAGTTGGACTTATTTGGTCATTCGCCCAAAAGATACTTAGGCTCCACCCAGTTGAAAACCAATCACTTGTAATTATTTCATTTTATTTTTAGAGTCGGTCATCGAAAGAAAGACATGTCAAGTTGTAATTACTTTTATTGTGTCGGTTAGTTATAAATTCAAATAGAGAATAACTGGTAATTTTATCTATAAAAGAGTTCATTAAAGTAGAAAGAGATGCAACTCTTCAAAACCTTAAACTCTATCTCTCTCAACCAACTTCTTCTTAACCTAAGTTCTCGGTCTTTCTCGTTCTTTCTTTATCATCCAAGTATCTTGAAAATTTTGTAAACTTTTTTTAAATATTTTATGATACTTTTTTTGTTTTAAAATTTCCTTCTCGTTTGGCATTCTTTTCTTATCGATTTCATGCATATCGTATATATATATATATATATATATATATATATATATATATATATATATATATATATATATATATATATATGCAGCAACTGTATGACTGCGATTGAAATATTTTACACCTAAACATTAATTTTAAGGTTTGGTAGTGGCTAAAGTAATAATTTTATTGGAAAGAAAAAGGGTTTGATAACGGTGTTATTACGGCATTCCACTTGCATGTTTTGACTTTGATGACTAATACCTATAAAATTAGGTCTAATTACTTGTATTCATAATACAATATAAATTTCTAAAAATTAATTAAATTTATTTTTTATATAGTGTGATTGGGCGTTAGTGAGATGATCCAATTTATTGTAATATATTTAATGCATTACTTTGTTAAAAAAAGTATTATACAAGTGAATAAATAATGTTTTTAGATTAATTTTCTTAATTGAGTTTTTGTTTTAATTTGTAAATTTTGTTTGTTATATTTTTAATTTATTGTACAAATGACGATAGATATTTTATTGTTTTATCTTAGTATTTAAACAATAATTTACTAACTTGTTGAGTAGAATTTTATTTATAATTTATATTCTTGTTTTTTTTTTATCTAAATTCATAAAATATAATGTAATTTATATATTTATCTAATTTATAATTCAAATAATACATACGAAAATTCACATTGGTTCAGCAGGTATCTCCACTCCACTGCATCCGAAACTACGAACACTGATTAAAACCTTTCTCCGTTTGATGACTCTTTACCTCGGACACGTTGATGTATGTCCGAATACCAGGAAGGAACACTCAAACTCTTACGAACAATGTCAGTGTCTTTCTCTTCAACCTCGCTTCCGTTCTCTGCATCTTCATTCGCATTCCAAAGACCACAACTTTGCTTCAATCCACTCACAGTATATTCTTTTCTCTTTTCTCATCTAAATTGGTTGCTCCAAATGCACTCACTTATCTATGAGTGGTTGAATTAAATATTGTTGCAGGTTGCATCAGATAACTTTCACTCAGCAACATGTGGTCGTCGTCTTGTACTGGATGCTGGAGGCACAAGCTTGTGTCGAAGGTTTCGTGGTTTTAAACTGTGGGTACTTGAGAGACTCAACTTTCAATTCAAGTCACCAAAGCAACCTAAGAATAGAAATCGCTTCAAAAATAATTTGGAAAATTCAGGTTTATCAAATGAAAAGGGCTCAATATCTGATTCATCTTCAATTCTCCATGTTCCTGATGGTGTGTTGATGGATAATTTACCATTATTCACTTCTCTTATTGTTTTTGTTTGCCTTCCGAGTGATTAACTCTTAAAATTTACAACATATTTTCTCACGATGTTCGTTCCCACAGATAAGGTCACTTCCATGGAGTTTCCATCTTTGCTGCAGACAGGTTTAGCTGCTACTCCCATGGATGTTAGCAGAATACCCTCACTTTGCATTGCTGTTATAGGAGCCACTGGTGAGCTGGCAAAGAGTAAGATTTTCCCTGCTTTATTTGCCCTCTACTACAGTGGCTTTCTTCCTGAGGTACAACACCTTTTATTGCCTCCTTTTTTTCTTTTTTGTTTTAGGACTGTTGTTTTAGCCGTCCATAATCATGCCGCACCTGATAATAAGTGGCCTCAACTGAACCACCGGTAGTGTAATACAGTCTTAGATTTTAGGACTAAATCATCTTACAAAACTTTAGTAACTCTTATCACACATTATCTCGGTTCAATCTGAGACTTAGTTTTTTTTTTTTTTTGTCCAATCAAACCCCAATTCATACAAATTTTTTTACATTGGACTCTTCTACCTAAAGTAGCAACAACAATGTACATAGTCTGTCAGTAATGATCCATAGATTTTGACAAGTTTTACATTGGATACCTGGGTCTAACAACTTCCTCCTTCTTCACCTAGGCTTCGGACTAGCTGTGAGACCATGAGCATAGTTCATCCACCTACCGAGCTTTTTATGTAAAAATAATTTTTAGCTTTGTCCTTTTTCCACGGTTGAATTCCCTTTCTGTGGATGAATTCCTTTGTTAATGACATAATATTGGATTTTGGCATGATAGTTTCTTCCAAGTTCTTTTACTACAATAGAAAAGATGGAACATATAACTACTTGTTTCTAGTGAATGTTACCTTTCTCCAATTGTAAAAATATTAAATTCATAGTGTCATATCTGCAGAATGTAGGCATTTTTGGGTATTCAAGGAAGGATATAACGGATGAAGACCTGCGATCTATTATAGCTTCAACATTAACATGCCGAGTTGAGCATCAGTATGATTTTCTTATCGCTTCCTAAATTGTTTCTATGTCTTATTTGCTGTTCATGAGCAAATCTTTTGTACTGAATTTACAGTCATCAACTTGGGAAACTGCTTGCTAGGTCATGGTTTGGTTTATGAAAATGTTCTCCCAACTTATAGTAGAAAAATCTCCTGGGAATTTTTTTTTTAAGTAAACATTTTATGTGTGTAATTGTCTAATTCCAAAGATGTAATTAAATTGGTTAATTTCCCTTGTACGGAAAGTTATACATCATACTCGTTTGAGAGTTGAGAATAAAAGAATGATGTCCATGCTATTCTAGCTTATTGGCTAATGTGAAATGCATAAACTTTCAGAGAGAATTGTGGGGACAAATTAGATGCTTTCCTTAGTAGAACATATTATGTTAATGGAGGTTATGACAATAAATATGGGATGTCCATGCTGAATGCCCGAATGGAGCAAATTGAGGTAACTTTGGAAAAATCTCACCAGAATTATAAGAAAGTTATTTTTTGTCTCAAATGAGTTCCTGTGCAAACTCTTTCACAAGTTGTATAGCCTTTGGTATCTGATTCTGTTACAGCTTATTATCTACCACAGGGAGGATCCAAAACCAACAGGATATTCTACCTTTCAGTGCCACAAGAAGCAGTTTTAGATGTTACGGCTTGTCTTTCTACCAGTGCTCAGACTCAAAAGGGATGGAATCGCATAATATTTGAGAAGCCATTTGGCTTTGATGCACTTTCTTCCCATAGGATGACACAATATCTTCTTTCACATTTTGAGGAAAAGCAAATATATAGGTATTTACTACTTACCTCCCCTTCTCACCTATCAGCTCATGCACACAAAGACACAGACGGGGGTACCACTTGAATCACATACAGAAGTACTGTTACATAAATTAATGATTCATGTTAATCTGTTACTAGGATTGATCATCTTCTCGGAAGAAATCTCATTGAAAATCTCACAGTTTTAAGGTTTTCAAATCTAGTTTTTGAGCCACTATGGAGTCGTACTTACATAGACAATGTGCAGGTCAGTGTTCCTCATCTTATCTGATTTAGCATATCTTAATTTCTGGAATTTTATGTAAATTTAAATGTATTTTCTGTAATTTAATGTTTGTAATCAATATGTTTTATTAAATCACTGTAGGTCATTCTATCAGAGGACTTGACCAAGCATCCAGGAAGGTGATCTTAGTGACCATGTTGTCATTTGAGTAAATATAATGCAAAGCATCATTCTGTACTGAATATGCATGAACAACTTTGTCCTCCACAAATAGCTATTTATTATATGACACTAACTTAGTCCTTTACTACCTATGCAGATATTTCAGTGGCTATGGGATTATACGTGATATCGTTCACAGTCACGTTCTCCAAACAATTGCATTGCTTGCCATGGAACCACCAGTAAGCCTTGATGGAGAAGATATTCGAAATGAAAAGGTACACTTCGGATTACAGATTATAAAATCTAGAACTCACCTTATGTTTAACTTCAGCAAGCCAATTCAAATACGTAATAAAGAGTACCTAAAATATTGTTTCAAGAAGATTAATGTCATCGATTCTATTGGAATCAAAGTGAGCATTTGAAAGCAATTCTTATTTTAAAGAATGTGAAAAATACACACTCAAACTAACTTTTTTAAACACATTTTTTATTATTATTTGAATTTTATTGGGACACAAACTATTGTGTGAGACTAATTAAACAAGGTGTGGGATCATAAGATTTTGTGAGCCCAATGAAAGTCAATCAATAATTAATATTTCATTAAAAAATGTTATTAACATATTTCTCTTGTTTTTTTTTAAATTAAGTAAAAGAGAAAATAGACTATGCACTGACAGTGTAAAGTAATTTTATACTAAGTTGTATCTAATCACAAATTAACATGCATGATAAGTTTGTTGACTTTTATAATAACTACCTTAACAGTCATGTCAATGATTTTTTTTATTAGTTGATACTTGATATTGTAAAAAAAATTACTCTAGTAGAACATATTCATTAAATTCTAAGTAAAAGAGAACGAATTTGATTTCCATTTTGTTCATAATTGGATAAACTGAATTTAGATCTCTGTCAAATTCAATAAAGGATGGTTGAAATAGAAATTATAAGTTAATAACCAATTCCTGAGTATATTAATCATCTTTCTGTCAGTTTTGATTATCTAATTCCTTAGATTGGTTATAATTTATGAAGGCTAGAATATGTAAGATGTGATTCCGGAAAGATTACAGCGTCTTCCCTTAATCTATACCGAGATCTATGTTTGACATGATGATTGAGGCCGACTGTCATACAATTTCCCAATTCTAAGCATGATCATCCAATTACTTTATGTAGGCCATCTTCAAAAAAAATAAGAATAGAACTAATCATTCAATTAGCGAAGAAACTAGAATTCAATCCAAACCTGAATTACAACTAAGAATTAAGATCCATCTTGATCCAAGGTTGAGAAATTCAGCTAAAAACACGATAAAAAAAATGAAGGAAACTAGTTGAAGTCCAGGCCTGTCTTTCTTCTAATAGTGAGAACTTTGTTCATTTGTAAGGTGAAATAAATAGTAGGATGTAAGGCGAAAGGATTCATTCTAGCTTGTATTAGTTGTAAATTGAGCATTACCCTTCAACATCTTTTTCTTTACATCCTATAATTTTCCATTTCTTTCCCATTCCTAATTCGCTGATCTGTAACAAAGTTCATCCTTCCTAATTATTAGAAATGGAGAGCTATCTCACTCAACCCTACAAAACTGGTTTGTAATTAAGGCGAGGTATCCTCCTCAATTATATATATTAAAAGTTAATCATATCTTTAGTCGATATGATATTTCCAATACATCCTTTTACAGCGAGAAATGAATATCTCGAGAGTGGAATTGAATATTAAAGGGTGGTCCGACATTCGTCCTATTACAAGCAGAGTGATAGGCCAATAAATCTTTTTAAGATAGATTCTAATATCATATTAAAGTAAATGGTAGAGAGACATGCAAATAAAATCGCTGTATTATGGGCCCACCACGCTTGCTTGTTGCTTCCTTCTCTGTGCACCCCACCCCCTGATCTAGCTGTCTTCTTATATTCCTCCCTCTATCCTTGTATAGTAGCAGGGAAAAATAATTATCACTTTCTCCTAGGCAGTGACAATCCAGTTTTCATCAGGAATGGTACTTTGAGACATGCAGGGACCTAAGCTGCCCATTTTGTCATGTGTGCACCACTCAGTTGCAAGAAAGAGGTGGCTATCGAGTATTGTGAGTAATGGGCATTTTCCTAATGTGTAAGGCACAGCACAAATAATATGGTGCAAGGTGCTAGGACCACATATTACTTTCAAGTGAAATTTAGTTCTTTCGATTATTCATGCATTATGCTTCTTCACACTTCATTCATTAACTTCAAGATAAAGAAGCAATGAAGTAAGAAAAATTGCTTAATTGACATGCAGAAAAGGCCAAGTTACAAAGGAGTCAGTCTAAAACATACTTTACTAAAAAATGCACTAATACTTTATTAGTATTTGTTAAGGAATAAGGAATTTTTCCTTTAGATATTATGGTTCTTTGTTATAATTGTCAATTTGTAAAATGCATTATTTCCTCGTTATCACATAGGAGTGTTAGTAACAACCTTCATTTTCAGGTCAAGGTTTTGAGATCAATTCGCAAATTGGAGCCTAAGGATGTCATCCTTGGCCAATATAAAGCAAGTGGTGGAGCCAAAGTTGATACGAGCTTAAATGGTCTGACGCCTACTTATTTTGCTGCTGCACTATACATTGACAATGCACGATGGGATGGTGTGCCATTTTTTATTAAAACAGGCTTGGGACTCATCAAACATCAGTAAAATCATCATCTTTTGTGTCAACTTTCTTTAGATACATACTTTTTATGTCCTAAATCCTACACCCTAAACCATTGACATTATTATCCTTGTTCCAATAATTTCTTCTCATTCCAATTTTAAAAAAGAAAAATGGCCTTATTGCAGTGAGTTTGAGTTGTAGCCTGTGGGAAAATATTGATCATGCATCAATTATGAAATTTCCAACAAATCTACGAGTTGTTTATGGTTATCTTTGGTTTTAACATTTCCTTAAATGTATAACATGAGCTTATGTAGAATAGGTCTGAAAAATATTTCTCCAAATGTATTATTTGCTGACCCATGTTAGAAAATATGGTAATGCAGAATGGAGATACGGATTCAATTTAGAAATGTTCCAGGGAATGTGTACCGTGAGTGCATCGGGCATAACATGGACCGAGCCGTAAATGAGCTCATTCTCCGTGATGTTCCTGATGAAGCTATTTTGGTGAGAGTTAACAATAAGGTTCCAGGACTAGGCTTGCAACTGGACTCTTCAGAACTAAATTTGCTTTACAAAGACAAGTAAGCACTTAAATGTTGAACTATTTGTGTGCATCACAGTTTGACTAGTGATGCTAATTGCTAGCCATACCTGCATGTTACATTGATTATTAATGTTGAAGGTACAACATGGAGGTTCCAGATTCATATGAGCAACTTCTTCTTGATGTCGTTGATGGGGATAACCATTTGTTTATGAGAAGTGATGAGTTGGAAGCTGCATGGAACATTCTAACTCCAATTCTGAATGAGATAGACAAAGACAATATATCAGTGGAGCTTTATGAGACGGGGGGTCGAGGTCCTGTGGGGGCATATTATCTTTGGGCAAAACATGGTGTCCGTTGGGTGGAGGATTAATTAGAACTCCCCTCCTTGTTTTGTTTAGATTCAATTAATCTTTTTGGTCCTTATATTTGTACTAACTTTTTGTTTGAATCTCTCTGTACTGAAAAACTCTACAAAGTCAACTTTGTTATCAAGACAACAAATTGTAATAACAAAGTGGATGTTTATCTTACAATGTAACCTACATTGTAAGAGTTTGAGCTATACCTTTGTTTGACAAAATTATGACTGAGTTGTACTGAGACATGATTTTGAATCTTAAACCATGGTCTTGACCGAAATATTAGAAACAAAGAAATAATCATGTGTTTTTTAATTGGGTCAATTGATGGTCTTTTTCAACTCTAATCCAAATACATGCTAATCATTTTGATAATGCAATTTGAATGTGTATGTGACATCCCTTCCACACTTTAAGGAAAAGAGAGAGGATATGTAACTAAAATTGAATCCTTTAGTCATAGTGTGAATAAACTTGTGTTGGGGTAACTTCCCATGATGATTGAAGCCATGACCTATTTACGTATGTTATTGAAGGATATATAGGGAGGTGTTGGGTAATTTCACTAGAGACATTTGATTGAGGTTGAATTGGCCTAGGTCAGAATTTTAGACAGTTAAAGAAGAGATGATTGTAGCTTATTTAATATCTAGAAAGAAATATAAATATAAAATTTAAACATAATGTTGAGAGAATTCCACCTCAAAAACATGGAGGCCACAACGAGTATGGGCTGCATGCATCAACCATCCTACATGTTTGACTAAAGTATACTGTTTCTTCTCTTCCTCTTACACTACCATGATGAATATATTATACTATATAATCTATTTTTAACATTTTTTTATTGACTAAATTTTATTGAAAATTATACACTTTTGTTTCACTTGTTATCTTTAAATTTTTAAATAAACCAGTAGTAAAACATATTAATAATTAATTACTAACATTATTCTTACTCTTTTAGTTAAACTATTAAGTCAAGTCGTCTTAGACTAAGTCTATTATAAATTATTTTCATTTGTATCTTAAAAAAAAAAAAAAAACTCTGGACAAAACCTCATTTTGCTCTCATAAAGAATTGAAATTGGCTCACTAACTTCAAAAAAAAAAAGTTTTGCTCTTTGCCTTTTCCCATCTAATCCACAAATTAATCAAATTCAAGTTGCAAACTTTATTGAATAAAGCATCTTATACCAACTACAGTACTAATATCATTCATTAAAAATCTAAAAGTAAAGTATTTTTATCCTAGAAGCTATTGTGATGGAAGCATACTAAAAACATTAATGTTGCATTCTCCACAAAGAAAAAAAATCAATTTTGTCATTTTGTTTAATGCACATGTTATTGTTAAGAGTATTAGAATGGTTTAAAAATAAAAATAAATATTTTACTATAAATTTTACATATAAATTATTTAAAATTAAAAAAAAAAGTTACTATATAAAATTTATAATAAAATATTTATTTTTATTCCTAAATAATTCTGGATAAGAACTCCTTTTAGAGATGTCTAACATTTTCCTTAAATAAAAAAGTTCAAAACTCATATAAAATATTTCATGTTTTTTTTTAATTTAATTTAGAATTTCACTGCCTAATATAATGACCTTCATTCAATCTTTACTGTTGTCGTCTATATTATATAAACTATCATGATATATATATATATATATATATATATATATATATATATATATATATATATATATATTATGAACTTTCTACGGTGAAACTTTAATATTTCGATTAGAAATAATGCCAAAAATATTTTAGAGCCCTATTTTTAAATATAGAACATTTTAACGTGCACATGAGATTTAAAAATATGAAAACTAATTTCAAATCTTCTTGAAAGATCCCCACACTATTAAATATTGAAAACATTGGATGCTGTTTATATTTTTCAACATATCTTTTCATGTAATTACCTTTTTATTAAACATAATTACAAGGATTAAGTTGTTGGACGATGTAGCATTACTCTATTAAGAATCTATAGACATTGATTTCAAACCTGATGATAAATAATACTGCACCGTGGGGTCCAGACAAGCATCATTAATTAAGGATAAGTATTCCATGATATGTTTTATGGGTCCATCCCCATTTTAATTTATGTTGACCAACCTAAAGTTTTTTTTTTAATTTCAATAAAGAAAAATTATTAGTTTTTATTTATTTATTTATCACCTTTTTTATTTCATTAAATAAAAGACTAATTTCATTTGCAATATTCTATCTGTAATAATTTTTTATACATAAGAGAAATCAAACAATTCTTTTTTACTATATAAAATATTTTATCTATCTTACTCATCTAAATAACACAAAGCCACATACTATTTTTTATATAATAGATCATGAATTTTATTTTGAAAATTTAAAATATAATTATATATTTCACGAAAATTGGTCAAAATAATTTCTAATTTTTCTTTAAAATCACGCGTATTAATTAAAGTAATCATAGACACGGCAAAACACAGTATTTTAAGGTGGGGAATATGACGTTATGGGATGACGTAGGAAAGAAAGATGCATCTGCATGCTTATTCTTTCTATCCAACTCTCTTTTCTCCATCATCTGACCATTTTACCCTCACTTTTGTGACTAGTTCTTCAACTTCATGGCCAGGGTCATTCTTCCATTTGATACATTTGTATTTTTAAAATAATTTAATATATTTTGAGAATAAATTTAAGTTATTTATTTTCTTTATTTTTCATGTCAAGAACACTAGTTAATTTTTTTTTATAAAGAATAAAAATAATAGATTTTTTTTATGAATAAAAATAGATATTCGAGGGCATTACTGTCATCCAATAATGTGGGTAGTAAATAAAATAACACGCGATGTAGTATTGACCTATTTTAGGAGTCAATTAACACGGTTTGAGTTCATTGAATTCGTTGAGCAATTTCCATGGTTCATTTTTTTACTAGAGAAATTCATGTCAGATCTCAACTTACAGTGAAGCCTATTAATTATTTTGGTTCAACTCTTATTCATGCTCTTTTTCACTTCAACTCTTTCTTCTGTGTTATTAGGTCATCATCATCTGCCAATTTATGAGATGACCGTTGTCAAACTTCTTTTTTCTTTGCTCTCATTGTTTTTCTATACATGGAACTAGCACCATTGTCTTCTCCATATTAATTCTTTTTGTTTTTTTTGTTTTTTTCTCTTTGACATATACTAACAGCTGTAATACGTTGGTTAAGGAGAGCATGGAGGGAGAAAGAAGGAAGAGAAAAATAGAGAATGAAGAAGAAAATGAGGAGCAGAAGATTGAAAAGTTCTTTGCCTTGATAAAGAGGACAAAGGATGTTCGCGATCGGTTGTATAAGAACACAGATAACAAGAAGATTGATGGAGAAAGGGAAAACAGTATTTGGAACCCAAAGTTTCAAGCAGAAGATTTCATTGATTGTGGAGAAATAATGCCAAAAAGTAGTAAAATTTCAGATCCTCATCATCATGTTCATGATCATGCAGGTCCTTCACACCAAGAACTCATAGTAAAGAATGAAGATTTGCAAGATGCAACACAATTGGTGCCAGCTGAGGAAGATAATAATGAAAAGAAAGACAAAACAAGTGAACATTTAGACTTAAATCTTTCTTTATGAATTTATAGTTATGTAATAGATATATATACTACCATGTATATCTGATGAACTGGTTATGGCCTATGAGTGTGATTTGCTAACAACCTTAATTACTGTCTTAGTAATCCAGTTTTGGGTGCTACTTCATGATCATGATGTTGATCCAGTTGTTGTTGTACATTGAAAAGAAGGAAGAAGCTATCATCTTTATTCCTTTTTTTACAAGAGGTGAAAGTTTTCATGCTTCGTAAATTGCGGACACAGATTTTCATTATCTATTTAATCTGTTGTGCGAACTGGACTGTTTATAATTAATTAATGAATTATTGAGATACTACAACAAACCATAAATTCAATTTCTTATTTCATCTGTCTAATCAGAGAAAGAAATCTCCCTACTTTTATCTTTTTAAAAGTTTACTGCACAATTTAACTGTTATCTTCTTTTTTTTATTATAATTCTTAAATATTTTATATTTTTCGTAAATAAAAGACAAAAAAAATTTGAAAACTTGTAACCAGCTATTAAGTAATTCGAAGACCAAAAGAACACAGAATAGATGTTGTCTTGGTGTTTTTTGTTTGCTTAATTTTTATTTGAAAACAAGGAGAATAGAAATGTTATTTAGAATGGAAAGTAATCCAAGCTTGGTCCCCACTTCGTATATTTCAATGGATGTGGCATGGCTGCGCATAAGTATGTCGACATAATTATCCTCGTTTAACTATTTATAACTTTTCATTATTAACATTGAGCAAATCACCAAATCGATATAATAATAAATAAAAAATCAGGCATCTAATATTTCTTTCAGGAGACATTTATTATACATATTCTATTCTTACCGAATTGAATATCTGATTATTTATTTAACTATGCATGAATATATGGCCATCCATTAGGTCTGGAGTATCAGAATTCTCCCTAGGGGAAACTTGGGAAGAAAACAAAATAAGAATGAAAAAAAAAACTTTTTAACTTATTAATTGGAAGTATATTATTATGAATGAACTTGTTTATAATATTTGTTTAACAGAATAAACTTTTTTTATGTGTTTGTCTAATTTATTCAAAATGGGAAAATTAAGCAAAAAAAGAAAAAGAAAAAGAAAAAAAAACTCTTAAGATATCATGGAATTGCTGAAAAAATGGAAATATTAATGAGATTCATAAGATCATCAATCTATAAATGTTCATATTGAGGAATATTTGCGTGAAATTTAGTTTAGATGATTAAAAGGCTAAAATAAAATAATTTTAAAAATGATTTGATATTTTATCAATCAACTTTATTTTGACGTATAGTATGCTTATTATAGTATAAGTGAATATTGATTATAAAATTATACATACATAAGTATTTTTTAGATTTTATTTATATCAAAATTTACATGAAAGATATACAAGATATTATTATATGATTCAATAGTACAAATATTATACTTTATAAAAAGTTATGGAGGAGAATAAATGGAAAAGAAAAAAAAAACTTATTTCCAAAGTAAGTTGAACCTTATGTTTTTCTTTTTTTTACTTTCATTTTCTTCAAACTAAGCAAATCCTAAGGGCTAGATATTTTCCTTTTCTTCTATAGCCTCATGATGTTATTTTCAAGGGAAAAAGAAGCATAGATATGTACTAAAGGAAAACCTAAAAGCAAAATAAAATATTTTTTGAAAATCAACATTTTGTGGTACATTGCAGTATGCATTTTTCTATTAATTTTATAAATTAAAGTTATTATTCAATTTACCAGTCCAATCTCTAATACAGGCCAAAAAATGCATTGATTTGAGTCAACTAACACAACATGCATCCATTTGTCAAATAAAAACCAAATTCTGGCATCATAGGCCGGTTACATTACAACCCAATTGCGTGGCTCCAACTTTTTAGAGCTTCAGCATGTGCATTACTTCATGACAGACTCTGCTCTTGGAAAATACATAGTTATAGCAAACCAACGACTAATGAACTAACCTTTGATTCATTGTCTTGCGCACTCAGACTGCATAATTAGTGGTGGCAGAAGAAATCAAAAGATGTCCGCGGAGTGGAATAAGACATGGAAAGTATCTTGGAAGCTATCATCGTATTTGCAGCTTCAGTTTGATGAATTCCATCCCAGCTTACATATCGAGCCCCTTCATCACAAACCTGATAACCAGGTTGACCACATGTTACCCTTGCGTCAAAGTTGTAAGGAGGCCCCCCAAAGCCGCAACATACCATCAACGGATTTGAAAAACCTAATCAATTATGCATTAACAAACACCATCAAAATTGTCATAATAGTAATTAATGCAATAATTTGAACCAATTCCAAGTTATGCCAACTAAGGAGTGCAAGCAATGTATCCTTTAAGCACATTAAATTTATTAGAAATAACAAAATTATGAGTGAGATTGGCTAAATAAATAAATAAATGAATGTAACGGACAAAATTTTTTGCTATGTAACAAAATTTCATCCAATAGTAAAAACTGTCTTCAAAGGAGTGTGTAAAATAAAATATTGATGGCATTTCTCTATCCAAATATATATAGTTATCTAAATGGGTCAATTATGTAATCATAATATATGGAGTGAAATCAAAGAAAACATGATTCAGATTAGTAAGTAACAAAGAGCGAGTTGAATAATAATCGATACATAAACGAGAAAAAAGTGTTTGCTTGGGTTACCATATTTTGCGGCATTTGTGATGAGGTCATACTTAATGGCATAAATATCAACATAGACTAGAGTAGAATCCTTCAGTTCAGATCTTAGTTTCTGACTCAAATGAAGCAGCGCTTCATTAAATAATCTAGCAGCAGAGTTATAGCTAGAAAGACATCCCAATGAATCTAGATCCTTCTTCTGAGCCAGTGCAAGTATTTTTGGAAGACAGCCCAGTGGCCCAGTATTGTGAACCCAAAACTTCCTGGCACCTTCATTATGTAAATTCTGCATACAGATGGGCAAACATCACACTCTAAGAAGGAGAAATAATAAAATCAACGAAAGAAAGAGTAATAAGATCAATGTACACCTCCCACCCAAGATCATTGTTGCAGCTTATTTCAATAAAGGGAAATTTATCAGTTACGAACAATTTTCTTGTCCCTCTTACCTAAAACTTATTGAATTATAAGAATTTCAAAGCAAACAATTTAAACACAAAGAAACATTTACGGAAGCAGAGAAAGCACTCAATAAAAAGGAACTAAATTAGAAGAAAAGGTAAAAAATATTTGGTCATAAAGGATAGGCTAGAACGTTAGGATTAATTTTATGATTACATTACACTCATCCCTTTCTACGGTTCTACAACCTAAATCACCAATACTAAACAAAGAAAGTTAGTCAGTTGCGCCGATAATGAGTAAGTTTACTCTGAACAAACCTTAATAGCATTTTCAATCTCAGTTATAAAGGATGGGATCTTTTTTATGACTTGAGCGTATGACAGATTTTTGGCAAATGAATCAGCAATGTCGTTTTGCCCAATATCAATCAAGTAGAGTGCATTACGGAAGCCTTCGTCATTGAAGAAATTTCTTGCACCTATGTAAGTTTGCAGTGCAATCAGTTCATTCTTAAATACAAACTCCAATGAATATTGAATATATTTTTCACCAGTAATTGAGTACTACTTTCTTTAAGAGCAAAAGCGAATTCATTTATAAAACATGTAGGCAGTTCTAACAAAAGTAGTATCAAAATCTGAACAGCGAAAGCATCAGAGTACATAGAAAAATCTGAACTCCAATGAATCAGATTACGTTCTTTTAACAAGACTAATTTTGGTACATTTAATAGGGGTTAGAACACAAAATAGAATCAGAGAACAGAGAAAAACATGGCAGCTTAAAGCTTTACTAGCGTTGACTATTTAGCATACTCAGAGGAAAAGAAATATAGCAGTCAAATGTCAAATACTTGAAACAAAGGCAGTTCAGACAATTTAATTTTTCATTTTTTTAAGTTAAGGATATAAGATATATAGCAAAGGAAATGTACCTGCCGTAACAAGATCAAGAGAACGAGCTTTGAAATGCCGGAACTGCATGACCTGTATATTTAAGGAGAAAGGAACATACTTAGGGAGAGTAGAGGACCCCACCACTGCAAAGTTTGCTCCATTTGTGAATGAGGTTCCGGACAAGGCGTCTAAGTATGGCACCAACAAACTTGCATTCAAACTTTGGCCTGCAGATGTTGGAAGGAAAACATTTCTGATTGAAGAATATTTTTATACAAAATATGAAAGTAGCATCCTAATTACCCCACTTAGTCAGCTTTCATTTGACAGTAACATTTTTCACTTGCCAATGCCAGAAAAAACTTCTTTCATATATATATATATATATGTGTGTGTGCGCGCGCGCGTGTTAATTACACTAATGTTTGAAATTGCGAACAGAAATTTGTAATTTTTTATCACAATTATTTTAAACATATATAGATATTTTTTATTGGTAAATAGTGAAAAACTTTTAAGCTGAATATGCATGTTTACTACTCATTAAAATAGTACTTTGTACAAATTGTACACAAATATGTAACGAAAAGTGTTGAAAATTGAAATATAATTCTTCAGAAACACGTTAATGTACTTGTAATATTGATAAAAAATTCTTGACTATGAATATTTGAAAATTCTCGTCATTCTTATTATTTTCTTTCCCTTTGCCATTTTCTTCCATGGAAGGTTTTAAAGAGTGAGAATGCAAATTAGAGAATGTTATAATACAACGACCGGTGCCTTTGAAATTTGAATAACTACTTTGTCATCCCTAATTTATCCAATGAAATTTGATTTGATAAAAATCCCAATATTTTCCCTACTTATGAAATTTGAATAAATATGAAACTAGCATCCTATACCTGATTCGTCCTTTTAGTGCTGATAAACTGGTATAGGAAATAAGTAGTGATTGGGGATCTTCCCATGATGAATGAATGGACCCTGGGTTTTACATGACGTTGATGGAGGAAATTTTTTTTTTACATCCTTTAATAATCTTAAAACCATTGTATTTGAACAGGATGATAGAAGAAATTTAGATGCAGAAGTTGGGCCCATTACGATGACGTATTGGGCTTGGTTGGAATCCAAAATCCAGGCCCAAATATAAAGGAATACTGACCGTCGACCGTCGTATTCACATCGCACTCAGCTAACCCCTGAGTCGGAGATGGCTCCATTTCCACTACTCATTACATTAATCAGTCTAAATAAAGAATAGAAGGAGAGTGGATTTATCATTTTTCATTAGGATCTATACGTCTCTTGGCAGTATAATATACTACTACTTTGGATTATTAATCACTTAATCTTAAACATATTTTGTGATTGGATGAAGAATAGAAATAATAGAAGTTGGTAAAAGAAAATGAAAATGCGAACAAAGGGAGGGAAAAGTTAACTGACAGAGTAGGTCGATGACGAGGCGTCCATCGGACAATCGACCAGTGGATCTGCGGAAGAAAGTGCGGCCATTGGGAAGATTGATAGGGAAACCGAGTCCAGAAGCGAGTCCACCAGTATCCGAGTTGGAATCGCCGAAGACAAACACCACCGGTGGGTTAACACAGTCACCCAATGGAATTGCCATTGCTATTCCGATTGCAGTGAAAATGAGAACTGAGAATGCAAAGCCATTACCCATACTACTGTCACTGTGTTGTGTCGGTTACTACTTCCTACTTCTCTAAACCACTTCCTCTACAGTTCTACTCCGACTCTTGTACTATTACTGTTTCCTGCTTGATTCTCCTATCTTTATACTCGTTATCATGTTTTTAAGCGCGTTTAACTCTCAATCAATCTTTTATGTTTGCTACTAATTATTAACATTAAATAATTAACTGTAACTTTCTTATATTTGTTATTTTTTCTGTTTTTAATTTCAGATTTTAAAATTCTGTAATATTTATTTAATCCTTTATGTTTGAATTAATCAAAGTGTTTTTCACTGTTTTTAAATGAATACATTGGATTTAAAATCCGTTCAATTAAAACAAAATATATAATAAAACTGTAGATTTTTAAAATCACCAAAAAAATAAAAAATATAAAACCTAGAATGTAAATAAAGAATGAAAAAGAACATAGTCCAGTGAAAATAACATGATAATTTACAATTTTTAAGAAAAACATAAGTGCAAAGTTTTTGTAAGTGAAATGGATTTTTAAAATATATTATGACAAAAAAATATGTCATATTATTATTATGAAATGATGTTATAATATTTAATTTATATATAAAAATTAAATGATTTTTTTATCTATACAAGAAATGAATTGTATAGCTGTAAGACAATAGTTTAATATTTTAAAAAGAAATAATAATGTAGAGTTGTATAAAGTTATTTTCTATTATGAATAACGTGATAATGTCTGTCATACAGATCTGCATTAATTAGCTGGACTAGACCCAAGGGTGGATCATCGTGCCCCCATTTTTTTTTTTCTTTTTTGAGACCATACATTATTAAATTTGTATTTTTTTACCACCTCTGAAATTTTGTTTTTTCTTTTTTAAGAACATAAGTTCATATTTCTTATTCTAACCATTCTTGTTTTAATGAAAATCCTTATAATTATTGTAAAAAATAAATTACCTATTATGAACATAGTTCATCCAAAACCAAACTCTGTTCTATTTTTATAATTATTGTCAAAATAAATTACCTATTATGAATATCGTTCATCCAAAATCAAACTCTGTACTATTCTTTTTTAATATTAATTTTGTTCTTTATAAATAGGAAAATAAAATATTGGAGATACTGACTTCATTAAAAATATGAGTGTCAATTGAAGATTTATTATTTTTAAAATTGGTGAATATTTTATAATAAATAATAGCATGATTAAAAATTATTTTAATATATTTATTTATATATTTGAATGTATAATGAATCTATTACTGTTTATTAGCATAAATGACAAATATATTATTTTTTTAATGGAATCTTAAATTCAATTTTTGTTGATAAAACAACTAATATCATAGGAGGTTTATTTGAAGTTTCGAAGAATTCATCTTATTTTATTATAGTTAATTAAAATTACAAATTAATTATTTCAATGATATATATAGTTGACTTTTTTTCTATATAAAATTAAGAATAAATTTTTATTATTAGTATAAATATTATAAAAATATTAAATTAATAAAATATTTAATTAAAATAGTATTTGTTTATATATTATGACGTTAATATATCTATTCAATTTTATTATAATTTTTTTATCGTATTCTTATTTTAAAGAGATTTTTTTATTATATCTTATTTGAAATTAAATTTTAATATAGTAAAAATTATAAAGTATTAACTTAATTTTAAATTTGAATGATTATATTTATTTATATACTATAATATTAATATAATTTTAATAATTTTATAAAAAAAAACACAATTTTGATTAAGAAGAGTTTTAAATCTAAAGTTATTTTTTTTATTAAAATATAAAATTTTAATCAACGACTATGTATTATATTAATTAGTTATAGGGTTTATTATAAAAAAAATTTCTTAATTTTTTTTTATTCTAGGACGTGTTTGTTTGTAGGAGAGGGTAGACGGAAAAGCACTAGAGTGAAGAAAAAAAATTATGGTTCAATAGTAAATAAAGTAATAAAAAGTTCTTTTTTTTATTAGCATTTGGGATGGAGCCTCTTTCTTATTCCAATAATATGAATCTCCTCATGTATAACGGTACTATCCGTCAGCTAAAAGTCCACTCAAGTTCATATTTTCTATAAGAAGAGCGTTTTACAGTAAAACGGTTTCAATGATCGAAATTTCTTATACACATATCCTTGTAAGAGACAAGTGTAGAGCATATTTGCATCTAAGTGGAGAATGATACTAAGAACTATAAGTTTCGAGTTTTTAGAGAAGAGAAAACATTTTAAGAAATAACTTTCTGAGTAGAGATGACAATTAAACCCCAACCCGTAGAGACCGGCTCGTCCCGCCTCGAGTTTGACTGGAAAAAACTGAGTTAACCGGGGTGGGGGCAATCCTCACCCCATCCCCGACCCCACCCCGACTTTATATTTAAATTTAAATTTTAAAATATTAATATTTTAAAAGAATTTCCTTTTTTTCTATTATATAGAAGGTCATTTTTTTATATTTTACTATTTTTATTTTTCTTATACCCACTTTTTAATTTTTTTATCTTTTTTAATCTTTTATATCAATTAGTTTATTACATTATTATCTATCTCTTACCTTCTAGTTTTTCACATTTCTTTAATCTCTCCAATCAATTTGTTTTTCTTTTCAATCTTTTCAACCAATTTGATGAACACAAAGTTAATTTTTTTCTTTATCTTTTTCTAAATATTTTACATAAATCTTAGTAGTAACTAATTTTATTTTATTTATAATTTATATTTATTAGGTTTTATTATGTTATATTTTCTGGATCTTATTATTCTTATTTTCCATATATCAAATTTTATCTTAATAAAATAATTGTATTTTAAAGGATTAAAAGGATTGATACTTTAAACTTTTATTACTTTGAACTAATTAAATAAGAATTAATTTATTAAATATTTTCTTATAAATTATATATTTTATATTTTAAAATGACAACTTAAAGTGAATTAACTTAATCAGATGTTTAGTATTATAATAATAATAATAATAATGTTATAAATATTTAAATATTTGAATGAAGTGTTATAATAATAATATTATTATTATTATGAATATTATATATATATATATATATAAATAAAAAATAATTAAATATTTCTTTTACATACATATTTTAATATAAATATAATAAATTAAAATATATATTTAATTAATAATAATTATAAATTGTAAAATTATAAATATTTATTCATATATAAAAAATATATAATAAAAATAATTTATTATAAATATAATTATTTTTTTAATAATATAGATTGGGGATAGGGCGTAAAAACCCGAAACCCAGTGGAAAGGAGGATGAAGACTTAATTTATAATTCTGACGGGGATCAGGGGAGGAGACAGTGATGGTTAGAAAAGTCAGGAGCGAGGATCGGGGAGGCAAAACCCGTCTCTGCCCCGTTGTCATGCCTAGTTTTGAATTATAACATTTTACAAGTCCTTCCATTTATAGGCAAACCACACAAGCAGAATTCAAACTTATGTTAAACTAAAATAAACTTCGGACCCGAAATATCATACAAAGTAGAATCTTAAGATAAAATGATAGACGACACACTCATAATGGTCTTACAAAAAGACAAGACAGGATAAAATGCTACGTTACAGATAAGATATGATAAGATATCATATCTCATCAGATAAAGTAAAGTTGATTCGGTCTCATCTTCATTAACACGTTTGCAAAGATAGCAATGAACAAGTGTAAATATAAGAGAATCGTGTTTTAGTAGCATGTCATAATGACAAAAATTAACCAAAAAGCCAAAATGATTCATATGATCAGCCTTGCTCCTAGTCATGCTTCCATGTAGTGGGTTCCAGTAGGGATACATTTCTTTGTGCGTCATCATTTCATCCATCAATTCTTCTTCGGGTACATAGATCTCAGTCGTTGATTTGAAAAACCTTATCTGATGGGATTCATCCTCTTTTGGGACGATCCTATGCAGAGGATAAAAACTAAGCGGTCTTTGAGATGAGCTGACAATGTTGGGATCCACTTGCTTGTGATAGTAGTTGTTGACTTCGCAGAGGTGTCGCATCAGTTGTACCTGGTAACTTTTATCAAGTGGATAGGTCTCAAAGTTGCCCCAGATATAGGCTTCATTCCTTAACCATAGTTGACCTGCTGGATTTAAAGAGTATGGACAGTGGATGATGAGGATCGTGGTTAGATTTTTGAGGCAACCTTCAGTAACTCCCCTTTGCTTCTAATAGTCTAGGATCTTCTTGAGTTCTTGTCTCAACCAAGATAGTGGTGAGAACCACTCGAGTAGAGTCCAGAAGTGGAACTTATCCTTATAAGGATCTATCAATATTCTATAGGTTATCTGTGTTTTCAATACAATAGGAATGAAATATTGAACAGTGTTGCACCATATGGTCCAAAGAATTGATTCACAAATATCCTAACCAAGGTCACAGAATAATTCAGAAATTCCCCGAAAAGGAATATTAGGGCTAAAGGTGGAGGCTGAGATGATTTTGTATTTCATGTATAAAGTAGAAATAACGAGTCTTTGTATAGTGGAAGATGAAAGCAATGAGGGGGAGATTGATGACAATGTGAAACATGTCCCTACATTCCTAAGAGATAATTTTGATGATGATTCAAGTTAACAACATTCAAGACTCAAGCAAGCCTAAGATATGATTATTCAAACCATGCAAGACTCAAGCAAGCCCAAGATGAATCCTGAAGACTAGATATATATTCTGAAGAAGATGATGACAAGAGCAAGTCTAAGATGAAGCATGAAGACTAGATAGAATCTTAGAATACTGGATATGGAGGTACAAGTTGATGAAGTGATATTATGCATAAGCCTTCAAAGCACAAATGTGATAAAATTTCGTAACATGACATTTTTCACTGTCATAATCGATTATGATGCATTAGAAATGGAAAAACGATTTTATCTCTATCATAATTGATTATACTAGTAACATAATCAATTATGGCAGTTCAAATTTGAAAAATATAT